GGACTGAGAGTGAGCTAAATACATTTTGTTAATGGTGTAAAACACTCCTACTGTGGAACATGTGTGAGTTAAGCGACAAATGTGACCTCGGCAGAGGAATATTTTCCATTTTAAAGTTCCAGTTCAAAATATGTATCCGTGGTAGAGTTCCTACTCTTTACTTTTACCGGCCTGGGGGAAGTATGCACTTTTTCTTACACATTCTGCTACTTCAAAATGGAGGAACACTGACTTTGTGGTAATGCATTTTCTACATTTGGTGAAGAAATAATTGTTGACATGAATGCTACTGGCTATCTTGAGTCCATTTACTTTGCAAACAAAGGGGAACATTTAAGTGACTGTGAACATCTGTATATTGTAACCAATGCACATCAGGCAACTTTTTCCAAAACTAGCTCTAAAATGTTTTGAATAATTCACTCCCAAGGAATACAGTGTGCTGGTGTATTATGCCATTGTTAAAGTATTGCTAATTCATCATGGGTGAATTGTATCATTTGTGGAAGGAGGCCATGGTTTCTGTCAGGCAGCCTGATGAAGACAGAAGAAGGTGACTCTTGGATGACCCTATACTGCAAACCACACCTATTTTGGCATCTCTCCTGTCTTTTCCTTCTATTCCCCCTCCTTTCCTCTCCTCTCTTCTCCTCTCCTCTCCTGTCCTCTCCTCTACTCAGAGCCAGCTGGAAATAATCCAGTCATGACCAACTGGTCCATTACCACTAACCGACTCCAATTATGACTCTCTATAAGAGATGTCTTTTACTGCAATATCACACTGGTCGACTGTTTCTCTGAAGGGTAAGGAGATGAATGTCCTCTTAATCTTTATGACAATTACATTCTTTTCTGTTTTACACACATGGCTACATTGTAAACTACCAATGAATGGATAATGGTTTGGCTGCGTAATAGATGCTTCTCTAATAGTCAAGTATTTATATCTGTTATGTACAGTAGGTAGTAACAAGGCTGCCGAGACGGTATTTTCATAACAGTAAAAGAAAAACATTTTACCTGGGGTCACGGAGGGGACCAATAGGACCACTGCAGCAGGAAATGTAAGCATGACTGCCATGTTAGTGCAATGAACCAGAAATCCCACAAGTTCACTGAATGAACCCTGGGCAGAAAGAGAGAGGCAGAGAGGGACAGCAAGAGTTTTTACATTAAATCTTAAAAACAGCAAGTTGTCCTATTTTAAACCGCTGGCATCCGACTAATTGCCTTGATTGTGTTTGCAGATTTTTAACTGCTTTTAAACTTATTCTAAAAAAAAGCAGTGAAAATAATACAGCTAAACATGAAAGTTTTAAGCATTTCTTTTGCTCTGCTTTTGAACAGAAAGACATTTTAGTTAGGGTGGCCTATTAAAGTTTTTAAAAGCTCATGATGTTCCATATTCATGCCAAACAGACAGAGCATAACTGAATATGCCCTAAATGGAGATGGTGAAACGAATTTCTCATTTCACCGTTTAACATTTGCAGATGCAATTGGGGAGGGTCAGCAAGTCAGTCAGTTTTAGAGAACAGTTTTAGAAAAATAATCCCTCATGGGAGTTGGGAAAGTGCTCTGAATTCAACAGTTCAGTTAAAAAAAATAAAATACACAGTGCTCTGATGTGTAAGTGCAAGCAGGGTTTCTCCACTCACCTTTGACAGCTGCCTTTCTGTGTAGAGAGCCACCAGAATGAACACGTTGGACACTGTCAAAACGCAATGAGAGATTTATGTCAGTTCCTCCAAAACATAGACCATATTACATTTTTACTTACAGTATGAATATGATTCTCATAAAACAAAAATATTTCTTTATACGCCTATAAGTCATTCTCTAATTAATGAAATGAAAGGAAAACACTATTAGGTCTCATTACTGGTATGAAATGTGAGAGGTGAGATGCAGGGGAAGTATAGAGACAAAATATTTGAAGAACCAAATATCAAGTTCCTGAGGCAACTGTAATTACAATATGTTGTACATTGTTGCTGTTTGGTTCAGGCAGATTATTTTGTCAATACCCAGTTAGTTCTAAATGGCCTTATTAGTCGGAGACTTAAAGTAAACCAATAAAGGAACACATGATCATTCAAGTGAAGTGAAAACACAACCAAACCAACCATCTTACCAAACTGGATACAAGACAAGCTTTTCACATGAACATAGAACAGGCAGAATTTTTACTGAGCACGTCAGAAGAGAGTGAATTTTGCCTCTACCATCTATACAAAAGACTGGGACACAAAAGGATTCTAATTTTTTAGTCATGAACTTTAATAATAAAATGCTTTTCAAGTGCCTTTTTAGCAAGACCCTGTTCTATCACATAAAACACACACACACACACACAGTCACAGACTTTCCCATGATTACACAGCAACACCTGATGAAAGAAATGAGCCAGCACTAACAGAGCATATGTGTTACACAGCACACACACACCAACTGCTAGACTGTTGAGCAACAGCGCAAGTGTGTGGGTGTGCGTGCACAGGCACATGCATTGTGTATTTCAGTTGTTGCTGTTTTTGTTTATCTGCACAAACATTGTTTTATATTTAGGAAAGGTAATAAGAGAGAACTTGATTTGTATTTAACATCTACAATATTCACAGTTAGAGAAATGTGCAAATATTGGGACATGTTTGAGCCAAAAATAGTTTTTAGTTTTTTTAAACGTTTATTATGCATCAATTGTTACCACTAAGCCTGATTCTGTGTGGAGCAAATGAGGCTAAAATGTATGTAGATTTTTCCTTTTTATTTCGTGGGAGTGTGAGTTTAAACTGCAGGGTAACTGCTAAATGAACTTAAGGAAACCACTGGTATGTAGATTGCTCATTACCCTGACTAGTCTAGGCTGAGCCACACTGATGGCACATAATTGCAGCAATTGTTCCATTTTAAGACCCTAATCAGTGCATTAGCATGTCAATCCATCTAATCTAGAGCGAACAGATGTGTTAACTGTCAGACATTTTGATTACTGGGTCTTATCATCCTGTCATCAATGCAACTATCCATCAGCAATGCCATCCCAAATCAATTAGTTAAACGCTTCGCTCACATGCTTGTTTTTGACCTTGTGGTGAACTTTGTACTGTGAAGAGACAAGAAGGTTCTAAGAAGGAACAAATGCCTTACAGGCGAAACTCTTTTTCATGTGACGATGACGTTAACTTGCTGTATGGACAGTGAAAACTATTTCATTTATCCTGTCATAATTTGCAGTTACTTAGAAGCAGGCATCATGTCACCAGGTTTCTGCATAGATGCTCCTTATAGTTATATGAGTATGTATTAAGACAAATGTCACACTTTTATCTTATCTACTATCTGTACAACTGAGATTTTCATGTGATTTATTTAATCATAAAATATTATGATATTCTAAAAGAATAATTCATTTCACCATTTTTGCTCCACTGATAAAAGGTTCAGAAGTTGAGACATTTAACCAAAATAAATACTAAATTCTGACGGTGGATTTTCTGTTCTTCATCCTACGTCAAGAGTCTATCCCATCCGAGGAGCACAGATCTCAGGAAATGCATATAATGCTGCTAATGTTCTTTTTTAAATCCCCTTTGGAGACAGACCTGTTGAGCATCTTTGACAAACAGAACACCATTTAGCACCTGTAAACCACGTAACACTTTCATCAGGCATCTACAGAGCTAGAGGTAATGTTACCATAAATTGTAGACTTCTCATTTACTCTGTACTGGTGTATTTGTGTGTGTGTGTGTGTGTTTGTGTATAAGTTGCTGCAGTGACTCTATAAGTATTGAATGCACCTTGGGAATGAGCTGCTTTACTGCCCATGCTAGTGTAAACAGACTCCCGTTCTCACCTGTCTCTTAAGCACTGTCAGTGCAGTCGTTTACCTCGACTCATCCATCTCTCCCTCCCTCCCTCTTCTCTTGCCCTGTGTCGATGCAGTACTTTACATCATCTTCCTTCCCCACTCCTTTACTCTCCCTCTTTTCCAACTTGCCTCTAGTCCTGCTTCCTCTCCCTCTTCCCAACCCTTTCTACAGACCTCCCATCACTTCACTTTCTCATCCATTTAATGCTTCCCTCGACTCAACTCTGTCTCCTCCTTTGCTCCCTATTCTCTCACTCGTTTCCTATTTCTGCAGCACAGCACCAGTGTGCAGTATATAGGGCAGGTGATTGTCCCTCTAGAGACACAGTGAGCTGCACCACTGCAGACTCTTACTGCGATATACCATAAAAATAAATATTGAAAAAACTTTGAGTACAGACTCCAATGTGGGAGGCTTTGGGGGTTTAGGAGTGATTCTAGTTTTGGTTCTATCCATATTTTTTCATCCCATTCTTAAAAACAGGGTTCTTTTCAAGCTCATTTAAACAAAAGTGACATTTTTATATGATTTTCTACCCTTGATAAAATGATAAACTTGATCTTAATCACAGGAATTATGCTGTGTTTAATTATGTGACTGTCTGCGATTGTGTTGTTGCAGGTCACTTATTGGATAGACGAGAACTTCACCTACCAATCACCAGGCATGCTGCTGGCCAGCTGTAGGGATCATTCAGAAACAAGGAAATCACCTGAATAGGGTCCACCAGAATACCGTACCTGGCAAACAAAACAAAAAGAAAAGGGAAGGAAAGAAATGGCAGATTAAAAGAATAGAAATGAATTAATTAAACTGCAATTGCAGGAATACAGAAATAAATTCAATGAATGCAGTGAATGTTCCCCCAATAAAAATATAGAGAGATCTTCACTCCAGTAGCCTATGTCTATTAGAGATGTAAAAATGGCTGTGATGAAAAAGATATATTGTCCGAATAAAGCACTGATGAGACGTTCAAGGATTAGGTAGAAGTTTGTGAAATTTCTGAGAACCTGGTACGTGTGTTTAATATCTTTCACAGTTAACATCATTGGAATCTTCTCCATTTAAAAATGACATACTGAGTACAGGCATACGGAAAGCCTCTTGAAATATCACGTAATATCAAGTATTTATTGGTAATGTGAAGCATACAGGAATAAGAAAAGAGTACTTACTCACCTTAACAAGTTCTCTAAGAAGAGGCGAGCATTACTTAGTACCTGTAACACAAAGCAAGAGTTAAAGATCCGACTGTCTCATGTAAGTATTTCCGTTTGTGTCTATATGTATGTTTCTTTCATTATTATTATTCATATTGTCATGTCTCCTTCTGTTGCTCCCCTTCTTTCCTACCTCTCCATATATCTCATCTCTTTCATATGCTCAAACTATTTCCCCTCCTCTCGTTCTCCTCCTCCCCACATTATTTTTTTTATCTCTCCTCCTCACTCTTCCTCTTTCAAAATGGATTGTAATATCTCATTACCCAGCACAAAGGCTCTATGCCTGGGGATGGGACAGAAGTTCAGTGGGAATGAAGGAAAACCTCCTGTGATGAACACAACGATCTGTGTTCAAAGCCTGGATTAACAGAAGGCTTCACTAGGCTTCTCTTCCTTAATATTCACTTCTCCCCAGCACGGTCGAGGAAGAGCTGCAAAAGCTGTTGAGCTTGACATAAACTTGTTAATCATATTAAATTATTTGACTGTTTTTACACATATATTTGATATTTTGAGAAAATGCTAATTCAACAACAAAAGGGTTTTGAAGCAACTGCATAACTCAATAATAAATAGAGTGATAACTCATGATTTTCTTCATTATTTCATGAAACATACACATAATTTGCCTGCACTGTAACATGTTTGATTTAAACCATCAGATACAACCACTTGCTAAGAGTTTTTTTGCAGTGTGGTTAAGTTGGAAGGAAATCAGATCTGTTAGAGAATCAGACACGATGAGTCTCTTTGAGTATTTATAGAACATTTATAGACTTTAGACCGATTCTTCCCTAATCAGTCTGTGCCAGTGGATTATCTACTTTCTCATTCTGTTTCATAGTGGGTTCTATGAAAGACTCAATGAGCACAAACTGGATATTAACTGAATTACAACAATGCTACTTCACATCAGTGCACATTTGGCAAACTTGTAGTTTGCTTTCACGTATTATAAATAATGCATCAATGCACTGTTAGGTTTAAAAAATACTTTTATTCTCTAGCGTTTGAATCCTCCTGATGTGGCTGATTGCTGTTTTTTGTCTGGTGTGCCTATGCCTCTGTGTTTGTTATCTGTGAATGGATTTTATGTCAACACTTAGTTTTTAACTAACTGTCTCTTTAATTATGGTCTCCTCTACCTGCTCTGGTTTGTACAGCACTTTGGTCAGCAAGGGTTGTTTTTAAATGTGCCTTATAAATCAATTTAATTTTAATAATCTGCAAAAACTAAAGACAAAGAAACTGCAAAATGTATGATACAAAAAGGCACCAGGATATATATATATAGGAAGACAGCACTGATTTCAGGATTTTAGGTTTTGATAAAATGAATGTATTTGAAAATGCTGTTGCATTAGTGAAATCACTATTTCATGGACATTTCTTTGGTGTTGTATGTACAGTATGTTTATTTGTGAGTGTGCAAACTTTTGTCTTACCAGCATAACCACACACCAGTTGAGGACTCCTCTGTAGTTACTGTAACCACTGGCTGAACTCAGCAGGGACTGCTGTGTCTTATGACAGCTACAGAAACAAATTAGATGGCTAAATTGGTTAAGAAATCAAGAACATCACAAGCTTAAGATGCTTTCATTTTTATTTGACTGTATGATCATATTGATTTCACAACAAATGGTGGATATTAGGTCTTATTATGATATTTAGTATATGTCTTTCTATAAACCTACACACTGATTTGCTATGTTTTAGTGAAGGCAATAAGAGAGAAGATAATACAAAAAATACTGTGGCAGGTTAAAGATGAAATTGGTCTAATTTTCCAAAGATGTGGTTCAGTTGCCACACTTTGTATTATTTCATTTTGTTACAGAAAAATAAAGTACAGTCAACTAATAAAGTTAAAGTAAATTAAAGTTTTTAAACAGTCCACAGGGTATAGTTTGGTATTATATAACTGACTCAGGAAATTAACCCACAATTCACCTTTGTTTATGGGGCCCCTATAAGATACGCCCTTGACAATGAAACAGCCCACATTGTAGTGACACATATTGACACACAGACACATACATATTCCTAGCCATACACATAAAGTGCTAGACTCAGCAGCATAAAAAATGTGAACCACAGTATGAATGAAGAGGGGACAACAGAAACATAAAATCTACATGGCTTTTTCAGGACAAGTCCCCAAACTACCCTGGCTGTGACACACCGCCAGCCGTTAACCCCTCTCTGACCGCCACACATTGGAACCAGCTAACGTTCGTTCCGGGCTACTAACACGCTAATGTAATGGCATTACCAAAAGGAACGTTAAATGGAACGTTAAATCGAACGTTAGCATATTTGGTCACAAAACAAACTAAACTTTCCTCAAACGGAACCAACAGTTTGGTAACTTCAATATGTTGTAACCATTGACAGTATGGTTGGAACTCACCTCAGTCGGTCACTTATTTCATTCCTGCGTTTCTTTTTCTCACTCTTTGATTTAGACCTTACTGTCTCCAGTGAACGCTCTCGTTTTCCCTGACCACCATCCCTGCTAAACTCAGCGGCCACTGAGTTCTGACACACCGCTGCGGACCTCCCGTCCATCGGCAGCAAACTCGCACTTCTCCCCGCCGCCAAAGTCGCCCTCCTCCTGCGAGTTAAGGCCCTGGCAGCGTCCGAGTCACCCATGATGACAGAGGGAAAAAAAAAAACGTCTTCAAGTTTAGCTGCTTCTGCAGTTTACTTCTGATAGTAGCATGCCTGTTGCTACTAGCGTAGTAGGCGAGGAGAGGGAAGTAAGCGGAAACAATCCGTCCGGAGCTCAGATTTCACCACAGTGCAGTTGACAGGGAGGTAGGAGTGTGTTCATGACGCCACATCATGAAGCTCCCAGCAGCCTGGGAACTGTTACACACTGTTACCGACAGGTGAGTCAATACCTGAGGGTGTGTTCAAGGAAACGCGCTTCATGCAAGCCTGGGCTCCTTCCAGAATAACAAAAGCGTTGTTTTGAACCCATGCTATCTCTTTGTGCATCTGATGCGTGAGGGGTGCCAGCAGGATATAACAGAACACAATTGTTTAGAATGTTATCTCATGGTCCATTTAGTGAGCTGTTTTGGAGCTTTCTGTCATGTCACAAGATCATCGTGGAGTTTGCTCAGTTGTCAGACACGTCTTAGTTAAAAGCTGAAGAAACATCCACAAATAAAACTCAGGCATGTTTTAAAGGATGCATAAGATGTTTAGTTGTGCTGGTAAACATGGTTAGCAGTGCACCAGCTGCACCTCTGAGACTTCAGAAAGCAAAGTGAAGTGGGTCTAAGTGCCTGGCCACAGAGGGAGTTTAAACTCGCTCCATGTCGTTCATTAGCTTTTTTGGCACAGGCTCAGTGGCTTTCCATGATTTGGGCATTATCCATGTGTTGAACAAGCACTAACAACCTTGTCAAGACTCCTTTTAATCAGGGGGACACAGTGTGTAATGGCATGTGCCTTTAGTCTGTCTGGAGTCTGGACCAGTGGCCTTTTTTGGCTCAGTAAGCTGAACAGTGGGAGTAAGTGTGTATCACAACAGTGCAAGTAAGTAGATAACACAACAGTTGGTCCTATAAATGGCCCCCTACGATTAAATAACCTCTCAAAAGCACCATAAAGACAACAGAGGCTGATTAAGTGCAGCTAAAGCTGATGGATGTTAAGCTACTTCAAGGATTCAAGGATATTTTATCGTCATTTACAACGTAGGGTTATATAATGAAATTCAGATATAGTTACCTTTATGCTACTTGTCAAACAAAATAAAAATGTATTGATAAGTCATTAAAAAATTCATAATTTGTGTGATGATGTGCTGAGGACAAATTTAGCAGAATTTACTTACATCTTAAACGGATAAAATGTCACAATGAAGAGCTGAGCTTGACAAGTTTTACAATGTTAGGCAGTGGCTACAGTAATAGGTAAATCCCATCTGATTTAGGAAACAACGTTCCTTTCGTCTTCCCTGCCTTTCCTCTGGTTCCACCCTCTGAACCTACAAAACATCTTTTACTGGTGCAGATGTGAGAAAAGCAACGTTTCTGTTTTTCATCCATCCATAGTTTTGTGGTGTGTAATGAGCATTACAGCCTCCCTGGTCTACTGTAGTGACTAATAAGGACTGTTAGTCTTGTGAAAGATACAGATCTCTGTTGACCAATGGCCAAAGTACCTTAACAGTCCAATTTTAGGGATTATTAATTTTCTGTAATGGTATGGGTACTATCTTCCCTGAGACTGTGGCAAACGGGATAATTACATTGCTTCCCATAAGTCTTTTCTTCTGTGTAGCAGCCAAAATAGTGTTTAAAAGCTTTCATTTAATGAGAATGCCCTTTCTGTCTATTGTAGTTATGTGTGCTTATCCATACTGTGGTGGGAACTGATCAGTGGCATTGATCCAGTTTTATCAGTCCTTACTGTCTATAAGGTTGTCTTTTAGAGTAATGAGCCTGTCTGCAGTTGTTGGGATGAAAGACCTTGGGGAGGGATCAATAGGAAACTTATCACTAATTGTTTTAACTCTTGCTGAACTACATTTCCCTTTGTTTCCCCCAAACCATTAAAATATATTAAGCTCCATATAAAGTTGCCCTTTCGACTCTCCTCTTGCTTCTCTTGTCTTTTGTTTGTGTAAAATGTTTAAAAGCTGGTCTGCTGTTTGATTATGAGGGACAAAATCAACATAGTTCCTCCAGATTCAAAGTTTTGGCATTTGGCTGCCATCTTTTTCTAACAAATTGTAATAACCTTCCTCAGGCAGGCTGTGCAGAAGAGATGTCTCAGCCACAACGGTGCAACAATTTCAACAGCCATTATCAGCCTGCTCTACGAACCAGTAGAGGGAGTCCAAGACTTGAATCTTGTTCCTTTTCTTTTGGTGAGTCATTCCATTGTGTTGTGTCTTCTCTTAAGGGTGAAACACCTTGAGTCAATATCTGTTTCACGCCCTGATGATAAGTCAAAACATTTGTTCTTAGCAGAAAATGCATTCATGAATAAATACATGCCAGCAATATAACTTTCATGTTTTGATGAGCAGTTAAGATGTTTTCTGCTGGACATTGGCAAATTCAGAGAGTTGGAAAAATTAACCTGAGATGAACTTGGGCTCAATGCCGTCTCTTTTCCTATAGCATACTGTTGAAGTTGCTCTGTTGCGTGCAAGTCTGTTAATGCTCCACAGATCAAGTTATTTTTGATAACATCTAGCCATTTAAAATTTAGAGAATAAGAGGTTTTGTCTATATATTATTCATACTTTCTGTAGGGCCACAAAAACTGAAGCTTTCTACTAGCTCTCTGTCTGAGCTGTGAGAGGAAGTAGGAGCACGACAAATTTCTCTTTTCACATGTCTCTGTGTTTCTTCCTGCCTCCTGCTATAGAAACATGACCTTTGAATTACCCTTTCCCTATTTAATACCCCTGTTTTACCTCACTTGTCTGCCTTTATATGTCTGTTTATAACCACTGTATGGCCCAAAAGTATGTGATCACCTGAACATTACATGTGTATGTGACATTTTGAACATCTTATTCCAGAAACACAGGCGTTCATTTGTGGTTATAGCCTCCACTCTTCCTGGATGCTATGGCAGGGCTCTTTGCAGGCCAGTCAAATTCTTCTTCAACATGATGAAAGTCATTTCTTTATTGAGCTTGCTTTGTGCATGGAGGCAGTGTCATGTTGAAGCAGGGAAAGTCATTTCCAGAAACGGTTTGAACGCTGGAAGCACACTGTGGCCCAAAATATCATTGTATGTTGCTACATTAAAATGCCAAAACCATTAAAAAATGCCACAAACAAACAGTTATACGGATCGGCATGTCCACATACTTTTGGCCATATATGTCCCTCTATCTATGAACACTGTTGAATTCACGTTGTTGCATCTGTCAGTGGGTTAAAATGTTTAAATCAAGCTGCTTAACCATGCTGGCACTAGCTCAAGGCTAGGTGGGAAAGGAAGAGAGAGGCTGTGTGATTGAAAACATAGATGTAAGGCTATAGATATAGAGACAGAAGATAAATATAGAGACGAGGGAACAAGAGAGAAAGAGCAAGATGGGGGGGATACAAAGAGAGGGAGGGAGATCTCACTTTCTATCTACTGTATATCTCTATCTCTCTCTCTCCCTCCATCTGGAGAGGCAGAGGGAGCGAGAGATAGTGTTTGCCCTTGCAGGTTGTAATGAAGCTGTGGAAGGATAGATGACTCACTTTAGGCAGAAGAGAAATACACACTCCAACATCACTCAGCTGACCTGAGTGTGTTTGTGTGTGTGTGTGTGGGGGTGCATCCGTGTGACAGCCTGTGTGTATATGTGCGTTTGTGATAGTGATGGTAGGAGTATGGTCTGAGGGTGTGTGTGACAATAGAGACTGATGCTGATTATATAGGAGACTGGATAGAGTGATAAAGCTGTCACTAGCTAGACAGACAGTGATAGAGAGCTATGTGTTCTGCTGGTAGCATGTGCATTTGCACCTGTGTGTGTTTGTTTGTGCACTAGTAACCGTTCATGGGCATTTTGCGTGTATGAGCACATAACTCTGTGTGCAGCAGATATAAAGCGTGCAAGTGCGCACTCTTCTGTGAATATGTTCGTCCTCACATTAGTAAGTGAGCGTGCATGTTTTTTTTTTAGCAAGTACCTATCTCTACATGCACCTGTGAGTGTGTGTATGTGTGTGTGTGTGAGCGAGAGAGTGCATCATGGAGGAGACAGATAGAGGCGTCATTACGCTGTTAGAGGGCTTGGAGCCACGTCAGCACTTTTACAGTTCAGCCAAGGACTCCTGCACACACTGTCCATCCATCTCCACGAGTCTGAGGGAGGGAAAGGGTGACAGAGAGAGAGAGGGAGAGAGAGAGAGAGAGAGAGAGAGAGAGAGATAGAGATGGACTTCCTGCAAGATGACTAGGAGACTAGAATCAGGAGGAGAGTGGGAAAATGGTAGATGGAGGAATAAATGATGCCAAACTTCCTCTTATAAAGGACCCTGGAATAGATATGCTACATGTAGCTGCTTGGATCAAACTGAACCAAGCTGCGAGCAGAGCTATACCTCATCCTCTCATCATCTGGCCCACGCCGCATGCTCTATTACTGAACTCTAAGCTCATCCTTCCCCGCCGGAAAATTAGCTCCACTCATCCACGGGGGCCTTTACTTCTCTTGGTTTTCAAATAGTGGAATAACCTTCTGAGGACAGACAGAACTACAGAGTGACTTCCTGTTTTCTGATATATCTGGAGGATTATACTTTAAAGAACCCTGTAGGTTTGCTTCCTTGGTGAATCACACTGCACTCTGGAAATCTGTCTAAAATACTGACCTTTTCTCCTCAGCTTATGTTTCATTGCCGATTTCTTTTAGTATACATGATTATTGTAGGAACTTGAGACTGTTGTTACATCTGGAGGGCACTGTGGCTCTGACTCTGATTGATTAATAGTGTCTGCCTAAAGTGATTAAGTGAAATAGTTTTTTCTCCAAGACATCATCTGAGATTTTTTTTGCTGTTTAAAATTAATTATTAAGGAATCATATCATAATCAAATAACTGCTTTTTACCAGTTTATAAATGATTGAAAGTCTAGTATTTGCTTAGTTTTAAGATGTATAGTCTTAAATTAAATAGGATTTTTCATGCCTGAGGACAGCATTTGTTTTTTATCTGATGAGATTATTCAGAGCAACTCCCTTATTTGCTTCAGACCGTCACAGCCAGTCAATAGACGTTCTGCTTTCTAGTCAGCTTCAGCATGTTTGGTGTTTATTGAATTTGGATAAACTTATTGCAGAAATACCTTTAACAGCAGAAAA